ATTCACTACCGACTAACTCTTTCATCCAATTTTCGCACTTTTTGTCAAAAATCGTGTGATAAGATGTTGCTTAACTCAATTAATTAACACCAGAAAAGGGACTGGGTGAGGACAAGTGAATTAAATAGTCAATAATGGCTATCTGAAATTGACTTCAATACACTACTTCGGCGTTTTTTTTTTTCGAATAAAAGGTGATTGAAATAATGGGAAATTTTTCAATGAATCATCGTAGCACCAAAAAATTCTCAAACTTATCAGACTAAATAAATGTCAAAGTTTTGCTATCAATGGTATGAGCCAAGCTAATTTTAATATTTCATTCCGAAATGTCATCCAAAATTTCCAAAGCAATAGTAAAGCATGAAAAAGTCAACCACACCCATCATTAGTGTTGATGAGCAAATTTTGGCTAGAAATGAACTCATTTAAGTGCTTCAAAACAGAAATTAAATTAAATTTTTAAGTGAATTGTGACATCTTTTTCTGTCCAAACCATTTCCCGAAAAAAAATTCAATTTTTATGGTAGTTATCTAATTCGATGCATGGAAAGTATAAATGAAATGTGTCATATGTTCGGTTAAATGAACAGATGACCTTGATTTTTGTAACTTAAAAGAATTTGTTATTTTAGAGAGAACCACATTTTATTAAATTAATGACAATGATTAATAACAACGATGATAATCATAGTGGTAATAATTAAATTATAGCGGTTAGGATGACGATACAGTATTTAAATTAGTAAGCTAATTGGTGATAGCGCTGATAGTGATGATACTGGCAAAAAAAAAAATTTAAATACATGTAAGGTTTCGTCTTCCATATGACGAAAAATTATTTTGTGAAGATTCAACAATACAGAAGGGCTTTGTATTGTTTGTCCACATATGCTAATTACCATTTGGACATGCTATCGATCATTTCTTTCTTTTTTTTTTTGCTATGATTCATTAACTTGCCAATTTTAAATCTTTCCATTTATTAGCTGCATAACTAATTATTTGAAGCGAATTTAAATAAAAAAGGGTAAGGATGGATAAGTTTGGAAATTAAGAAAGATTGTGCAAGTACTTGAATTTATTATTCATTGGATGTATTTAATGAATAATTAATTTGATTTCGAAATATTTACTTCAATGTATCGCGTTCATTCCCAACTTTACATAATCACTTCCTAACTGAACAAGTTAGGTCAATTTGTTCGCCGATATTATGTGATACATCCTCATATTGTCAACGAGTAACGTATGTCGTCCACTTTTTTGCTTATGCATATATCTCTCTATCGCCCAGCAATTTAGATACATTTACCTGGTAATGTACCTTTGATAATTATATGGTCAATTATGCATATATGCCATATAGAGTTATGACCTGCTGTTACCGATCTCTTCTGTCAACACTATCAACCATCAGTCAATATAACAGTGTCACCTCTTTCTTTTTCCGGGGTTAGATTAATGTAACAGCCATCAACTAAACATTTTAAGAACCTTATAATTACTACTATATGATTTATACATGTGAAGCTAAACAAACATGGAAAAATATCAAAAATCTTATTGATTCGAATTTGATAAATCTGAAACGCACAATTGGTATGTATTATTGATTTATCTGGTAAATCACCGGTAGTCCAAAAAGTGGACAGATGTCTTCGGCTTTTCCGAACTTCATTCGTTTATAAAAGAGTATGACAGGATCGGTGATTGGTCTTTTTATCCATATTCTCTCTCCGCCCTTCAAATGTTATTTATCATCTTTCATAATCTGTTCTTGATGTTGTGAACAGTTCATTGCACACACATATATCAATAATCATATGTAAATTCATCTCATCGAAATTGCCAGGGGTCAATTCTTGCTAGTAGAAAAAAAGTTTTACGTAGAAATTGAATAATTAAATAGTTTGAAATAAGGTTTCCGAAAGGTCCAAAGATGAACTAATGGAAGTGTTTGAGGTATTTTAAAAATTAGCCTTAACTTACCCTCTACTCGAATATTCAGTGTTCATTTTATAAATACAATTATCAGAGGATCATTTCATTCGTGCTTCCTCCTAGTTAAGCGTTATTGATAATTGAAATGCTCATCACTTCAAAAAGCGGTAAATCCGAGGTATGTATGAAAAGCAGGAGGTTATATCCTATGACTTCTTGGTCTCGAATTAAAAATTTTCTTAAGTTCAGGTCATTCCTGTATTCCTATCCATTTCTCAATAGATTGAACAGTCGAAAGATCTTATCCTCTCCAGTACTTTTTTTTACCCTGTCTATTTGTTCAGTTGTTCAGTCCATCTTTTGTTGCTCATCCTTTGAGGCCTTTAATTAGGATTTGAGAGGTCTATTTAAAATTTATTTTTTTTAAAAGCAATTCTGGAATATTTCAAAATTGACACTAAACGCGGTTGCAGTGTCCATCCTGCCAAATGGATCGATGTGTCAGTATGATACAAGATAAGCTGATATGATTGTCGTCGTAAAATCTTTTCAAATTGAATTGATGAGATATTTAAGATGATTAGATGGCAGACTAAAGGAGCGTTGGGTTAGGATAACACTAATACTTCTTTCTTTCGTTGTTCAAATGGAACAACTGTTGTCGTCTTTTGGCTTTCAACGTTGGAAAAGGTTGAAGTTAAATTGGAGAAGGATAATAAATCTCACGTTTACATATGTCAGCTAATATCTACAGCTGTGCTTCATCTTCCAATAGTCTTTTAATTTGTTTGGAATTTTAAAATTTGGTACCAAAGAGACCGGAAAACAATTTAAAACAAATCTTTAGCGAAAATTTTTGACAGTTACAAGAAAAAATACATGTTTCCAAGAAGTCTATCTTTTGAAATGTCAAAATTTATTTCAACACCTGCCATTACACTAAATTTCAAAGTTTTTTGGAATAAAAGGTTCGTGAAGCATATCGAAGTGAATTGTGCCAAAGAAAAAATTTGACCGAAAAAATAATCAAAAAACTAAAAGTGCTGACAACTTAAGGAAATAATAACTCGAAAGGAATTAGAAAACCATAGAATTATTTAAAATTAGATACCACCGTAAATGTTCAACTAGATATTCAAAATTATAAAAAGAGTAGTTTCAGGTTTGATATAAGTAATACGGATCACGTGATGTCAGTCAAACTGCTTGATCGAGTAACCATTGTTTGTCCACAGCCAACTATCAATCCGCAGATATCATATGAATATACAAAATTATATGCTGTAAGTTTAATTTGTGAAGTGCATGAAATGATGAAAAATTAAGATTTAAATAAGTTTTTGTCAAACTTAACTTCAAATTAATTGTTTTTTCATTTCTTAATATTAAAATATCTGGAGACATAATAGAAGAGATAAATGATGTCAATAAATGATGTCAATGATTCTGATATCAGCCCAGTTCTTCATCATCAACAATTATCCCGCACTACAATGGGAAGACTGAAAGTGTTGTGTTGTTTGTTCATAATGTACTACTGTAAAACAAATATCTGACATCCGTTTGTCTGTTGTAATACAAGTTTAGCAAAATTAAGCTTCATAATTTGTAACTGTGCAAATATAAATGGGCGGGCAGTATGTGATGAAACAATACCGAAATCCGATACAAGCTGCAAATATAATCCGATATGGATGGATGGGAAAATTTGCTTAGTAAAAGTACACGACACTTTTTATCCTTCCCAAGATTTGCGTTTACTTATCCCGGAAAGTAATAAGATGGAGTGATTGAACTTTTGTCTCTTCATTATTTGAATCCTTACTTTATTCTTAAAAAGACCTTTGAGAAAGACTCTGAATTCGAGGAGTAAAATATGTTTGGTATATGACAACTAATTGACATTATATGAAATTCTAGAAGGATCTGATTATTTTTAAAGTTTTTATTTTTTCGAGCTGTTTAACGAATTTAAATTTTTATTAGTCTTTTGATATGGAATGTAAGGGAAGTATCGCTTCGGAAGTTTTTGATCTAACCTTATCCTTTGAGCACTGGAAATACTGGGAAAGTAGTAAGCATAATAGAATTAATTAACTGACTTCATCAAATTGCTTTATGACCGATAAGAGTGTCTTTTTCTAAAACGTGACGAAGATGTTGTTTTATTTAAATTGTCGGAAATTCACAAGACCTTTTTTCAGTTTTCTAAAATTTAAATATCCGTCTTATACACACAGATGTTGACAACTTATTGATAGTCGCAAGGGAAATACAATGAAATGTATATTATATATAAATTCCATTTTTCCATTCTGTAGAAATTATATTACGGCAAACTTTTGTTTCGTACCTCAATAAAACTTCGGATGTAAATGTAAAAGTGAGACGAAAAGATGCAGGAAACTTTGATTGGTAGTAATGTCATAAACCGATCAAGAGCTCATAAAATGGACAAAATTACAGCTTGTCGCTTCTTTGTATATCTTTCGGATTAATTACTCACCGATACATTCCTGTTTTATTTAGTCTTTACAAACTACTCCACCTGGTTACTGTGGTCAATAAACCACGGTGAAATTGGTTGTTAAATGACTAAAGATGAGAATGATGTTAAGGTCATGCACTTTTTCACTTACTTCCTCTTCTTGACCTTCCATTTCATATAGTTATTAGTCTGGAACATAAAAAAAGAGGAGGGCAGGATCAGAAAAATTTCCTTTCAGGGAAAAGAGAAAAAAGAGAAATGAATAAACTTGTAAAGGACAATATCAAAGAATCTTTCATGTTTAAGTTTGAGATTATCGTATCAGTCCTACTTATCCAAAATAGTAAGTAGAAAATAAAACGAAGGGTTGAAGATAAAATAAGCCAATATAACGGTAGACAAAATGATTATTTAAGTCTGGAATACATCCTGCTTTTCAGGTATCCCAAAGTGGTTACGAAAATTGTCAATTATTAGATGAAAGGTTAATTGGAGTCTGTCAAACTCCGAAACAGCAATCCTCGATCAGTATAGTTTTCCGAGATTTCTCCCCACTTCCCGGTGCACTAGAATTCAAGCCAGGCTACAGCTATTATTTTATCAGTAAGTTTTTTCTTCGAGAAAAAGATTAGTTTTCAATATTTCGAGCATCATTAAATTAATATATCATAACATAAGTTAAAAAAGTAAAAGGAAAGGAAGAAAGGAGGATGTTAATGTGTGATTGTTTCGAAATTGATGAAAATTTTCAAATTATTTATGGTATAGGAAGTATACACTTGTTGTTGTTACACTTTTATTGGCTAAGTTTAACCTTTATCCATCGATGGTGACATTCCCAGTGGATTCGTTGAAGAATGAAACTAAGAACTGTCAAACTTATGCCACATTCAATTTTTCGTCAGTTTTGACAATAAATGAAATTGATTTCATGAAATGATGCTAAGGAGGAGAAGCGTCCTCTCAGTAGGAAATATCACCCAGTTAAAGGAGGACGAAACAGCAGAATGTCACATGTCAATCGCATCTAATTTTCTTTTTTTTTTATCGTAGTTCTGATACTGCCATGTAGTGAAGACATTATTATTCCATTATATTACAGAACGGATATTAAAGGTTTTTTTCGAAAATCCTTTCCATAATATAAGGTTTTTTTTTTTTTTGTCACAATTTCAATTTTAGAAGTAACATTTGAATAGAAATGAAAATTTTGTAAGAATGCTGGAGTGTAATTCGATGGATTGTAGCATTTGCAGATCATGATAAAGCTTTTCTTGAAATTATCGATTGGATTTTCTAACTGTATTACATTTTTCCACTCCATAATCAGGCTCGAACAATCATTTCAGGTTAGAAGTCAAAATTCTGCAACACAATTCTTAGTTAAGATTTGTTTTAACCCAGATGAAATAGAGAAAAATCTTGAGAAGTGTTTGCTATCCAGTAGGTTTTGTTGAAATACAGTCTCATCATTCACTTGTACATCTAGTCAGGAAAATTAAGCGATTGCGTATTTTGGGAAGAATCGAATTTGCAAACGGATATAATTTTATTGTAAAAATTTACAAAAAAAAAACGAATATTGAAACGACTTTTAGAGAGAAATGTAATGCTGTACAACTGCTCAGAATGTCACATCAAATTGCAAACTTTGGTAGATTAACGGAATAAATTTTGTAAACAAAAGAAGTTTCGAATAGATTTCAGTAGTTCGCATTAAATTTTAAATTTCCAAGACAAATGAAATACAGTATTTAAAAAATTCATTACTATTGACGTGTTTAGTTGAAACAGAAATTACGATTACCATTTCAAGGGATAAGCATGGATCTTTAATGACGCTGTCGATATATTCTTTAATTTTCATGGTATCAGTACATTTGCGCTCAAGATGTACGTAAGGTTCAGAGCAGATGTATTGCCAATTGCGCAACGACTCTCCTGTCCTTCTTTAATTTAGTATTATTAATAATGAAAGAAAATGATTCTTTAATGGTGTCACTAAGCAATGCTGCATTTCTCGGGGAAGGGAAGAGAGAACGAGATAGAAAGAAGAAAAGGGACTGATAAGCCTG